GGTATAGATATTCATTTTCACTTCCCAAGTGAGTGTTTCGGATTAAATAAAGTTAAAAATTCCCATCAGAAACAGCATCTTCATTAAATGTGCTTAACCTTTTGGAGATAAGATGACAACAGTATAACTGCTGACAAAGTTCTTTCAGTCCATGGCAAGATGTGTTTTGGCCTAGTCAATTATTTCTCCTGTTGCTCTGAATTTAGGAGCTGTAAAGACACAAAGATGTGCTTATGAGCATATCAGAATTGAAGGACTGTAATAATTGGAAGAAGATACAATTTATTAAAAATTCCCTAGCAGTATGAGAAGAGCCTGCCGTGGGGCTCTCTATAGCACTGTCCACAGATGTGCTCTCTTCAAAGGACACCTTCTGAAGTACAGGTTGACTGTGAAGTCAGCCTTGATCTATGCTAGTACGTCAGAGGGTAGAATTTAGACCAAAGTGTCTTAAAATAATTCTTCAGTGCTTTACAGTAGTAAAACCTTGCTCTGGGGTAAGACTTTATCATCATGCTTTTTCTGTGCTCCTTTTCTGGTGTTACTCTGAGCCATGGGAAGAGCCTTCTTCCCATCAGTCTCTTTCTGTGAGACTGAACTGGTGTCATCAGTGAACAAAGTGTGCGCAGTAACTTGCTTCCCTCTCAGAAGTGGTGATGCAGGTGCCAGCATGGCTATGTTGACCCCAGTGTGGCCAAGTCCCCATCCCATTCTGGGTATTAGCACAGCTAAGCCACAGCAGCACCTGGGTCACTTTACCTGTCCTGTCAAAGCTGTGCAGCGGCAGATACAGGCAAGGTCTACAGTAGGTTGACAGCCTGTAGGTCCACAGCCTGCACTTTGCTTCAGTGCCTACAACCTGGAAGCAGGAGGCAGTTATTTTCCAGCTTCCACCTAAGAGGTAGCATCTAAACTGTGATCTTCTGTGCCAAACTTTGTTCCAGAGCCAATTTGTAAATGCTTTGGATGTCAACTTTAGCGGGGAAGTCCCAACCACTTTCACTATCATTATGTTATCTTCCAAAGAGCCAACAAAAATATGGCTTTGATGTGTTTCTTTTGGTGCTCAGATGCCGTTGCATGTGAGGTATTATCATGAAAACCACATTATCACAGTAACTCAGGGCCTTTGGGCATCTGATGTTGCCAGTTGCCTTCACTTCTTGCTGGTATGTAATTTATCACCAGCATAGCCTACCCTGCTAATATTTGCCCTCTGTGGGCAGAGGCGAAGCTAATATACTTTCAAAGTGTATTTGAATTACTTCCATAAATCACAGCTGTCACTATGAGCAGTTTTATCACTTGCCCAGAACAATATGTTATGTTCATGCTTTATAGTCTTGATACTATTCTGGACTTTTATTTGTGTGAATTGTAATGTGTCATGACTTATTTTATCATACAATTTTGAGTAGTCCCAATTTTATTATTTTATTTTTACATGGAAACTTTCCCTTGCTCTGTAAAGAAGAGAATTTTTATGGGATATATTTTATAGTTGTGATTATTATTTTTTATTAATAATTAGCTCTAAGAACACTCGCAGTTTGTTTTCTATTAGTTAATTTTCATTCTTCTAAGGTGTTCATGCAGCTGGGGTAGCTTAGTTTTTGTAGCTCTTTTCCTCTCCCTCTCTGCAGTGTATCAGGAAGAGCAGCTACATGGCAATCCTAGGTCATGGAGTTGGACACTGGGGAGGAGGAACCTCCCTACCTCATAGATTTTATTTACTATCTGGGCAGAATATCCACCAAACTAATCAATTGTGTGGATTTAAAATAAAAATAAAAAGCCTTGTCAGTCCGGACCCCAGAGTCCTTCCCCTGAATCACCGAAAAGAACTGGGAGCATGAACAGCACTTACTCAGAGCTGTGATACGGTGCCCTGGCTCAGGCATGGGCTGGTATGGGGGACAGCTGTGTCTCAGCAGCCAGACTCACTCACTTGGGCAAGGACCAGCTGTGCTCAAACTGCTTGCCTGTCCCATCCCTGTCCCAGGGTTGCTGAGTGGGACTGCTCCCATCTGCCAGCTCAGCTTCCCCACCAGGCAGGGGCCTGGTAATGCTGCTGAAAGCTCTGCACACAGGCTTATCCATCATATTTTTCTTCTCCTTCTACAGTGGTAGATCTGTTTATGAGTGTGACCTGTGACTGGTTTAGGACTTTACTGCAACAAGAAACTCTTCTCAGCTCTTTCTCAGTGATGCTCTGACATTAAATGCACTGTTTCTAGAACAGCCAGTAAAATGTCTCCTTTTTATGGCCATGCCTAAAATACCAGTGAATATTTATGAACCAATTTGCCATGACTTCTCCTGTGATGGAAAAAAAGTTCTTTTTTTTTTTTTTTTTTTAAATTGATGCATCAACTTATTCCAGAATATGAGAACAAGGTCTATAAAGTAGTCAGTTTTATAATTAAAAAATTATTTATTTGCAGCAGATATATTTGCTAAAATGTGAAGACTGTATTCTTCTGTTTTTTAATTTGAAGGAGTTATGCTAATTGTTTAAAATGGAACAGTGCCTCTATGTAAGGAAAGATTTTAAGTGTAGATTGAGTTCCTTGTCATGAGTCTAAAGGTATGACTTAGGTTTGTCCTTTTACAGAAGTTAGTGTTTATTCTCAAAGTTTGCACTCAGAATGAGCAGTAGTTGCTAAAGAACGTTTTGCAGATGTGTTTGCAGATCCTGTGATTTTCTCTTTTCAAAAATTTTAGCTACACAGGCATTTTCAGCAATTGGCTAGGCACATCAGCTACCACTTCAGAAATTCATGTTGTAAATTTTACATGAAGAGACGTTTTTGGCAGCTGCTTTGTGGTTTGACTTTCAGCTACCCTAGAAAGGCTATATGCAATCAGTTACCCTATCCAGACCATGTAAGCAAGAAGCAAGTATTTTAGCCTAAGGATGACTTGGATGATAGTACTGCATTAAATTCAATGATTGCATGTAGAGAAACACGTCTGTGCTCCTGCCCACATGCATAGATCATTTCATAGCATAAGGGGAGCTAAGGATGGAAGATACTCCTGCTTCTGTGAATAAAAGCACTAAGAAACCTGCTCTTCCCACAGAATACACCACTCCACACCTCAGCTAAGCTTGGGGAGCTGGCAGTTGCTTTTTAGCAAGCATTGCAAAGCCTTTGCAAACCCTTCCAGTTTAATTTGAAAATGTTCATTCATATTGATTTGATGAATCAGAGACTGTAGTTAAGATTTTGCTCTGGCAAATGTCTCTTTCTATGCCCTCTTCCTCACCTTCCTGCCAGTATTGACAGATTTCAGGCTTTGGGAATTTGGCCATACCCTTGCAGGCACTGGCAAAAAAAACCCCCCGAACATCTTTTTTGGATCAAAGTAGAGTTCTCCATTCAGTTGAAAATTATGTGAAGCTCTGTGTGTAACTCTTAGCAAATCCAGCACTTAAAGGTGTCTTTTTACTATAGATTAAATTGAAGATCAGGTGTTTTTCCACTGACTTTATCAATTGAGTATATAGCACTTCTCATCACTGCTGGACTTCAAAATGGCTTATGAAGGTGTCACTCCTCAAAACCTTTCTTTACAGATGAGGAAACTAATAAGCAGAAAAAATAATGCACTCAGAGTGTACTTATGTCCCAGACAAGCAAAAAGCTATCAAAAGTTATGATGTATGCAAGGAAGAAGTTCTGCTGCTGGCTTGTGAACTTACCTTGACCACACACCCAGGCTGATCTGCAGTATTTATGCTGAGTTGAAGACTCCATATGTTTATGGTCTTTACTGTGCATTTTCCATAGCTCCGAATGCTTAGCTGGCATCCATCAGGAATTCAGACTTTACAAATACTTTTGGCCATGAAGATTGTAAACATAGTTTTGCTGGGGTAGCAAAATACTAAGTGTGCCATGTAATAGCAAACACTCTGTAGCAGCTCTGCCCCAGTGATTTCTGAGAACAGACATCACCCTGGAGAGACCCACAAAGCACGAATATTCAGAAGACTTTCCTACATTTAAATTTGTGCTATGTTTTGGATTTTTTTTTTTTTTTTGCTATTGAAAGTAAATTTTTGCATCATTTACAGTTGCACAGTTGCACAGTTGCAGATACTTTGAGGGGAGATAAGGGGATCAGGACTCATCCTATGGGTTTTGCAGAACAAGTCGGCATAAAATGCTTTTGCTTTGGCAGATCAGCCTTCTCAGGCTGTTGCCCTGGTTGAGTTAACCCGTGTACCCTTTTGCAGCAATAACACTGGACCAGCTATAGAGGGAGTTTTCCAGCTAATGTGCTGTGCAGTGAAATCTAGGGATGAGCAAGGGCATAAAGAGGTTTTCTTTCATGTAGCTGAATTAAACTATGCTCTGGCTAAACATTTTGACATCTGTTGAACGTAGGCCTGATTACAGGCTTTCTCAAGCCCACAGAAAATGGCACGAGTGAGGCAGGGACTCGGGGGGCTGATGTCTGCCCATTTCCCAAGCACTGCTGTCAGCCTGTTGTGCGATTCGGCAGAGACTTGGGAATCAATGGGAAAAATAAGCAGTCTCTTCTCTTCATCCTCCCTCTCCCTTTTCTCTTTCTTCTGCTCTCTTTGGGCCCAGATTTCTTGGCAAAGCTGTACAGGAAAGCTTGCTGCTTGCTGCTGAGTGTAGTTTCTATTACTTTCTTTTGTGAATACAAAACGAATATGTGACTCCAGGTGTTAATCCTCGTGTTTTCAAAAGTGACACTAAATCCGTTGTTAGTAAAGGCAAAGATGAAAGTTTACATCTGCAGTTCATTCCCCTTTCTTCTTTTTCTTTTTTTTTTTAACTTTCATATTTTTCTGCCCACCCAATGCAAGAGTTGAAAATGCATTTCCCTGTAATATGGAGGCTGGCTTTGCAGATTTAGCTGCCTGATTTATAAAACTGTGTGAACAAATTATTTTGCAGATTCCTTGGCCAATTAAAACAAGAACTCAAATTCCTGTGAAATGAGCCTCCTACCTCACACCCCCCCCCCCACAGCAAACCTGATGAAACAAAAGCTTTGAATTGCTATTTTTTTTTTTTTTTTTTTCCTTTTTTTTTTTTTTTTTTTTTTAAGGGGGAGAGTTAGAAATTGGTAGTGTTATATTTGGAATGTCAAAAGGGAATGTTTTTACTTTTTCAGACATTTTTTGCTTTTACTCATTTATTCTCTTCTTGGTAAGATGCACGGTTTGGCCACAGGGAAAGCTAACTGGGCACTGGGGTGACTGCATCTGTAGATTTCGCTGTTCACCTCCTTCCAAGGAAAAAGCTTTAGCTGGAAGATACAGCCCAGCTGTAGTGCAGTCATTAAATGTATTGCTTTTGTACCTCTGGCAGAATTGCAATTAGTGTTTACATTTCTGCAGTGATCTGGAATGGAGTGGATGCCTAGAACAGAGGCTAATACAAAGTACTTGTAGATGCTTTACAGGTCTTTTGCCTTGCACTTCAGGGGGAAAAGGGAAGGGAGGGTCTTAATGATTGCTTTAGCAAAGGCTTAACCCAATTTCTTTAAAGCATTTTTTAATTAAGAAAGACAAGAGATGTAAACTAGGGTCTGCTGTAATCTAGAAGGCTTGGTAATTACAAAGCAAACACGATGGGGAGCACCCTGTGTCTATGCCACAGAATCAAAGTAGGTTACACTTCTCCCTGATTGCATTTTGGTTTATTATTTGCCAGTATCTCCTGGTATGTAGCCACTGCTTGTTCGAATGGCTCTTTCATATGTGTACATATATGTGCATTGGTCCATGCATGAATGCAGGCTCGGTCCAGTCTTGCCGCATTTTAGCTCTTGTGGGTTAAGCAGTGGCTGTGTAGAAAGAGAGTTGAGAAATGAATTGGTTTCATATATTGTAGAACTGAATTTTATTGGAATAAATAATCAAATCTGCCACTGGAGATCCCCTCCTTCAAGGGGATGAGTTCCCTGCCCTCAGTCCAGAGGTGTATCCATTCAAGCCTGGAAATCATTACTCTAAGATCAAGAAATTATCTGATATGTTTAAAAGTTAAGCAAATGCTCAAGGGCTCTGCTGTTTAGGGGCCAGAGTAATCAGTGTGGTGCAGGCAAGTGCTTCTAATGTGGTACAAAGCTGGTTAAGGTTGATTGCTAACCCCAGTAGTCTTTGGATTGTGTTCTGCATGGGTGCACTTGGAAAAGATTAAATTTTTGCATTTGGACCCATATGGGCAGACATATGCTACATCAGCGTCCTGTTGGCTTCAGTATCATCCTTGTGTCTGTTTGCATCTAGCTGGAGGATGTAGCCCATAGCTCGTAGTGTCCTTATGTTATAGGTAAATAAACGAACACAAGTCCTTTTGCTCAGTGATTTGATACCTATAGGTGTATGCAGAAGCAGTGGGGAGGATGAGTGCCATCAGGCAGTAGCACTGCCTTTGTGTCAGGCAGTACTTACAGTTGATATTGTGTTTATGAAAACTGTGTTTATGAGGCTGAGGCATAAAACAAAGCCCAGCTTGCAAGGGTGAAAAGCAGGGATCGGTAGGTATATGGTGCTAGCAGTCATTTAACCCAATCTGCCCACAGTAAAATGCAACTCAGTACAGTGAACTGTGCATTACCAGCACACTGCAGCCTTCCTCCAATAGACAGGATGTGGACAGGAGTCTGTACATGGAGCTGTGTGGAAACAAACAGCATGGCAGAGGCAGTGAGAGCACAGGGACCATCATCTCTGACTGGGCTGGTGAGCAGTAGCCTGCCTGAGCAATCCCTGCTCAAAACAGGACTGTAAGCACTCAGCACACCAATTTTGGTGTACTTTCCGTTAAAGTATTGTGCAGTTCTGCTCCTTTTCTCTGGGCAAATTATTTCTCTTGGGTGCTTATTTTTCCATCTCCAGCTGTCTTGACTATTTAGAAATGCATCATCTTCAGTGTAGGGACTGCAGCTATTCCTTGAAGTTTTCACAGCATGGAGGCTCACCTTGAGCTTGTGCTTGTAGATATTTCAGCAGTGTCAAGAGCTGATACCAAGATATCAAGCTGCTATCAAGTGCAAAGTTATAGATAGATCAATGCACAGGCACTCAGCAATTTGTATGCCCAGACCTGCCATTATTTATTTAGGGTCAATCCAGAAAATCAAACTAGTAGAAATCAATCTGCTGAAATTCAGTGAATCTGTGGTTACAGCTTGCATGGTAAATCTGATCCTGCTGGTTTTGTATTTGTGCTATTTTTGACTCATAATTTTGTTTTGCTGGCTAGCTGTCTCATTGCACAGTTCTTAGGAATTTGATAGCAAAAACAAATGGATACTACATATAATTGTTATGGTATGGCCAGGAACTATTTTTTATAACAAAATGCAAACACAGACACAGGTACATGTAGGCAGTATTGCACAGGGTACTGTTCATCTAATGAGCTTCACTGACTTGACTATACGTGTGCCTCCAGCCTGTTCTACGTGCAAAGGATTAACCCATCTCCTGCTTCCCTTTGCATTCAGCACAGGGCAATTGTGCACAGTCAATTCACGTAGCCCTGCAGATGATCAGTAACAGGGACATTTATTGTTATTTTCTTGTATCTTGAGTGCTGTCACTCACACCTGCAGGTACTTTTGGCTGGAAATAACAGCCTTAAGTCTGCTGTCCTTGGAAAGGCCGGGCATGTTATTCTCGGTGAGGAAAATGATCATATTGCCACCTAACTCAGGTGAAGAGATCATTCTGATGCAATCAGAAAGAAAAGTCTCTCTAGTGGACTATCTTGAGTTGATGTTACTTGAGTGTTTCCATTATTTATACGAACTCCCCAGGGTAGCCTTGTGCCGGACTACTGCATAACGCTAGCTGGAGCATTGATATAGATACGTGTATGTGTGTGTATGCATGCATACTGAGAGTTCAGTTAGCCAAATTTTTTAGTAAGGATTTGAATTTATACCAGGTGGAAGTTTGTACCTGAGCTACAGAAATTTACCATTTTGCATAAAAAATATTACTTTGTGAAAATATGTTTGTAAGAAATGTTGCACTTTGCGTTTTTTCAAAGTATGTCTTTCTGGGTAGAGAGGTTAGAAAAGAGAAGGAGTTTTTTGCAGTTTTCAGCCAAAACTATTGTTTTGGGTTTTTTATTTCTGAAAATAATAGTAGTAAAATAGTTTATGCATGCATCATTTCTTCACAGTTTACTGCAGATCTCAGCTTTCAAGAAAATTCTGTTTGTCTGCAAGAACGTATGGACACTTAGAATTGAGCAGAGTCTTGAACGTAATTTTATGTAGTCAGATGAGAACTCTGTAATGTTTTGCTGGCAAGGGCATCCCTCTAGATGCCACTTTTCAATGTGAAGCATGACCTATGACACACCATATGCCAAAGGACTCTTACTATCAACACTAATAAGTTCTTACATCAGTGTTTTAGTTGTATAATAGCTATTCAAAAACCTCATAAAGAGGAATTGCAGCAGACTTCATCAGGATAACAGTCTATGGCCACGGTAAGGGCTATGACTAGATTTGCATCTGTTTTAAGCAGTGAAGCTCTCTTAAGAGCAACCTACAAATTCTCCAGAATTATCTATTGGCCTGTCCATGGATCTGTGTTAACTCTCCTTAACATCGTCAGGATTAGCGGGCAGGGGCTGAGAGCAGAAAGATTATACTTTACTGTTCCCTACAGCTATTTGAGACCTCCCTGTTGTCATGAGAACCATGCACCAGCTTGCAATATGTGCCTTCAGAGGCTTAACTCTGTAAGGTTGAGAAGGCTTCACCCCTCTCAGAATAATGTTTTCCAGGTCCTGAAGTACTCTCTCTGGAGGTACCTCATCTGGCTTTGGGCATCTACAACACTCCAGTGTAAACCCTTGCTCATTGTACTGGCCTAAGGAAATGCCATGCCCCCAGAGCTGTTGAGCCGGTTCATGTGGCTCCATGGATTAACTTAGTTCAGAAGCATAAAATACTTTCCTCCTCTTTCTCTATTTCACCTGTGTCATTTGCTGCCTGAGTGACTTTTTTTTTTTCTTTTTTTCTTTTGCTCTCCAACAAAATACAGAAGCCTCAGATTACCAAAACAGCTGCACATGTTCTGGGTTAATGCATTTAAGTCAGGCTCCAGGGTCTGGGCAAGTGCCAAGATCCTGGATCAGCTGCTTTGCCGGAATTAGGCTGCTGTAATGGAGCCCTGCATTATTGTGTTGCAATTATTTTGGCTTGCAGCTGGCTGTTCACTCTATTTTTTTACTGAAGTGAGATAGAAGGATTTTGTCTTAAAAATAGAATTTTCTTTTCAGAATCTTATAGAAGCTTGGAGTTACATACCATGCCTGTAAGAGGTGCCCTTCTGTTTATCTTCAGATTTGTCTTCAAGGAGAAGGGCAAGTAATATTTGTCATAGTTTTTGAAGAGCAGGAACAATGCTACTAGATCTCAAAATAGAAAAGTGTGTTGAAACAAGAATAAAATAAGTTATTAAAGTATTATATAATTATATGGTTTTAAGTTTTCAACAAGAACAGGTTTATTTTCAACATCAACCACTTACTAGTAGCAAGTTCTTAAAGTTGGAAAAGAGAAGGAGTTTTTTGCAGTTTTCAGCCAAAACTATTGTTTTGGGTTTTTTATTTCTGAAAATAATAGTAGTAAAATAGTTTATGCATGCATCATTTCTTCACAGTTTACTGCAGATCTCAGCTTTCAAGAAAATTCTGTTTGTCTGCAAGAACGTATGGACACTTAGAATTGAGCAGAGTCTTGAACGTAATTTTATGTAGTCAGATGAGAACTCTGTAATGTTTTGCTGGCAAGGGCATCTCTCTAGATGCCACTTTTCAATGTGAAGCATGACCTATGACACACCATATGCCAAAGGACTCTTACTATCAACACTAATAAGTTCTTACATCAGTGTTTTAGTTGTATAATAGCTATTCAAAAACCTCATAAAGAGGAATTGCAGCAGACTTCATCAGGATAACAGTCTATGGCCACGGTAAGGGCTATGACTAGATTTGCATCTGTTTTAAGCAGTGAAGCTCTCTTAAGAGCAACCTACAAATTCTCCAGAATTATCTATTGGCCTGTCCATGGATCTGTGTTAACTCTCCTTAACATCGTCAGGATTAGCGGGCAGGGGCTGAGAGCAGAAAGATTATACTTTACTGTTCCCTACAGCTATTTGAGACCTCCCTGTTGTCATGAGAACCATGCACCAGCTTGCAATATGTGCCTTCAGAGGCTTAACTCTGTAAGGTTGAGAAGGCTTCACCCCTCTCAGAATAATGTTTTCCAGGTCCCGTAGTACTCTCCCTGGAGGTACCTCATCTGGCTTTGGGCATCTACAACACTCCAGTGTAAACCCTTGCTCATTGTACTGGCCTAAGGAAATGCCATGCCCCCAGAGCTGTTGAGCCGGTTCATGTGGCTCCATGGATTAACTTAGTTCAGAAGCATAAAATACTTTCCTCCTCTCTCTCTATTTCACCTGTGTCATTTGCTGCCTGAGTGACTTTTTTTTTTTCTTTTTTTCTTTTGCTCTCCAACAAAATACAGAAGCCTCAGATTACCAAAACAGCTGCACATGTTCTGGGTTAATGCATTTAAGTCAGGCTCCAGGGTCTGGGCAAGTGCCAAGATCCTGGATCAGCTGCTTTGCCGGAATTAGGCTGCTGTAATGGAGCCCTGCATTATTGTGTTGCAATTATTTTGGCTTGCAGCTGGCTGTTCACTCTATTTTTTTACTGAAGTGAGATAGAAGGATTTTGTCTTAAAAATAGAATTTTCTTTTCAGAATCTTATAGAAGCTTGGAGTTACATACCATGCCTGTAAGAGGTGCCCTTCTGTTTATCTTCAGATTTGTCTTCAAGGAGAAGGGCAAGTAATATTTGTCATAGTTTTTGAAGAGCAGGAACAATGCTACTAGATCTCAAAATAGAAAAGTGTGTTGAAACAAGAATAAAATAAGTTATTAAAGTATTATATAATTATATGGTTTTAAGTTTTCAACAAGAAGAGGTTTATTTTCAACATCAACCACTTACTAGTAGCAAGTTCTTAAAGTTGTCGCTATAATTTGGAAATCCTTTGTGTAGAGAAATAAAAGAATGGATCCAGATTTTAAACTGAAGAAAATAATTTCTACAGCCTTGAATCTCCTGTATTTTTACCCATTCGAAGCTCTTTTTGATGCCTATTTATATATATTTCTTGTCAAATAACAGCTCTCTCAGGTTCTCCAATTGATACCAAAAAGTAAACTGAATGCAATCTTTTATCTTTGAACTGCTCAACTGTGCCCTTCTTCATGTTCTTGTTAATAATGCCAGGTCTCCCAGGAGCACTCTCATGCAATTTTATCACATAAGCTTTTTGTTTGACCTTACCTGCTGTTCCCCTAGAACATAAGGGGTGTGAAGGGGGGAAGCCAAAATGCCAGCCTGCCTTAATTAAAATTTTGGTCTCAGAAGATGTTACAGTATGTGATTTCATTAGTTATATAATGAAAGTATTTAATCATACCTCTTACTTGTCTGGACCTTTTTACTTAGTAGTGAGGTCACTGAGTTTTAAACTGACTCTTTTCAGGTGTGGAAAAGTAACTGTGGGCTGGGTATGCATCTTTAGGCGATCCATAAATTCATTGTATCCGTGATTTCGTATATTTGCCCTAAAGGTAGTTGCTTGGATGATGAAGTAGGAGGCACTAAGTAAGAGTTCAGCATTCTTTGCAAAACGTTTTTCCCCCATGGGACAGCAAGCATGCATATAAATGTTTTTTTAAAAGATAACGCTACTCCTCACCGCCAACACTTGGAACTTGGCATCATAGCAAAAGGGTAAAGGAAAAGATAATGGATATTTCTGTGGCATAAGAAGCTCTAAATCTTACATGTACTATGTGGTGTTACTTTCATCATTTCTCATTGCCATAATCTAAATCACCTCAATAGTGGGCCTTCTACCTCCCAGATAAATTCATTTGTTTAATGGAGTAACTATTCTCAAGGAAAAGTGTGCACAAAGCATCCTATCTTAGCTTTTGTAAAGAAATATCTTATTCTAGCTTATGTAGGAAAAGCAGAGTTTAAAAAAAAAAAAAAATTGTGAGGCTCTGATCCTACACATCTTTTGAAATGGGAGGGTTTACTTTGCTAGGGGAGTTGTGTTATTCCCCTAATTTTTTTTTTTTCCATTTTGTTAGCAGCTTAGAAGTACCCCCAGTTGGCAGCATTTTCTAAGTAGCACATGAAACCAGCTATGCTTCAGATGCTCTGTGCTTTGGGTTTCTTCCAGCCCCCGGGGTTGCAAAACAAGTAAACCCAGGATTTCATATAGCTTTTTGAGAAAGAATAAAGCAAGGGGACAAGGAGGAGCAGTTCAGCTAGGTAAGACAGATCCTACTCAGTTGAACCAAACTTGCCACATTTCAGAGCTTTTATCCAAAAAAAAAAAAAAAATATATATATATATTTCTATTATATCAGAGTATTTTCAGCAGCAGTTTTTACCAAATCCAACAAATAGATTGCTCTGAAATAATCCAAAACTGCAGGAAATTTCCCAATTTTATTTCTTCTTCTGAAGCTAGATGAAGATATTTTTGCACTATTCATTTTGTGGGATTTATAGCTTTGTAAACTAGAGAGAGAAAGCGGGTGGGGAAGATAGACAAACTGTCTTTTATCCAGTATTTTTCTTCTTTCTTTTGTGATAATAAATCTTACCAGCTCATATCTCTGACGCATATACATTTTGCTGAGTTTCTTAATGCAGCTGAATATGGCTCTTTCTCTGTGAGTCTGACAACAAGTCTGGCTATTGATCTGTTACCAGGTTAGGAAGCATGAACGTTTTTTTAGCAAAGCTATGGACAATTTAGGGACCGAGAGCTATGATTCTGGCAGCAATTATGTTTCAAGACTCAAAGTTCAACATCCTGCAGTTTTATAACCCCAGCTCTGCTGGGAATTATTGGAGTCGCTGTCATTGTAATCACTTTAGGAATACATTTACAGGGTTATGTGTTTTCAGTGAATGTTACTGGAGCACCATTAGCTAAGAATTGTTTTGATCTTGCGCAACTTGAATGAATCGATGTCATTAGTTTTAAATTTTGAAAACAAAACTAACGTAATACCCCGTGGTTTCCCCTGCAAGCTGTACTGCTGGAGTGGGATGTGCTTTTACCTGAAATGAAAGAAGCCAAGCTGTGAGTCACTTCTGTGAAAAGGCTTCTCTTGTTTTGTGAGGGTCTGAACTTGCAAAGTGCTGTGGGGAAATGACTCTGTGTGCTGCTTTGGTTTTTGACATGTGCTGTTTTATGTGTGTTTTAAGCTACCTCATACCTCCAAGTTTTCTGTTGCTTCTTAAGAGTCCTTTATTTCAGGCATAGGTAATCTTAGTGGTTTTTTTCCTTTGTATGTATGTGAAAACTAAATAAAATAATTGCTTGGTCTTATGTTTTGAGGAGAAAGGACGGATTTTAGCATTTAACTATTATGTATTTGTCCTTCTATCTCAGACAGTATCCATTTCATACCAATAAATTTTCTGTGATTTCTTCAAGTAGAATATAAAGTTCAAGTATCTTACTAAGTCAAGACATTTTTAAGTGTATTGCAGAGAGAAGCAGACAGAGTAGGAGTGGATTGATCAACTACAGTAGATTTGCTTTGCAGCATGTTTTGAATTTTAGGTCCAAGCTTAAACTACAAAATTGCTTACAAAGTAATCTGGATTCCAGCTGCACAAGGTGCAGTTTAAATCTCCAAACTCACACAGAAAATAACAATAGGAGGGAGACATTAATTAATATGTCCTCTGTGGTAGTCTTCTGAACTGAAGATGCTTTGAGTTGAGGCTAAAATCAAAATCAGCTTAAACTTATAGATTAAGTTTAAGGTTTTATGAGACATTATTCCATCATTTGCAGTAAAACTTGCCAGATAATGGTAAACCACATAATGACAAAAACCCCAACATTTTCCTCAGGCAATTAAATGTGCACCCAATTCTAGCATGTAGCACCTGGACATGAGAAGCCAGTCTGAACACAGTGCCTTGGAGAAGTGCTTCTCTAGAGAAAGAGTGCATAGGGATGGTATTGTGATGTCCACATAGGAGGTGAAACACCTGGTGGCAATCCAGTACTTGAGAGTCTCACATGAGGTAAGGAGTGTCATTAGGAGGGACTGGTAGACCTCTGTATCAAAGGGCTTTGTTCTGGCTGCCCTTGGCTGAATTCCTGCTCTTGCTTGGGCTGAGAAGGGATCTCATTATGCAGCTTCCACAACTTGGACAACTATCCTATGCAAGGTTCTCCAATTAGCCTATATTTCCTTCTGTTTTACGGGTAACATTTAGGGCCTGTTTGAGAATCAAAAGGTTCTTTGTGATGCTTTAGAGGATGTGGTTTAGTGGTGGACTTGACAGTGTCAGGGCGATGGTTGGACTTGATGAGTTTAGCTATCTTTTCCATTCTAAACAATTCTTTGAATCAATTCTATGACTTTGTGATTCTAAGACATTGTTTGATCTTACTGAACAGCTTGCTTCAGTTTTTTTCTTCCTTTCAGTATTGCAAATCCTTTGAGATGGACCAGCTCAAAGCTTTTTGTAATAACTTTTGTCAGAACTTTACCAAACATACTAACATGTATGACTGAATTGTAGTTTTACAATGGCATTTCTTCGTCTCTGATTAGTAATTTATCACAGGCATTTTAAATTTCTATGATTATAAAGTAAAAGCTACATGCAGCCACTTTAATACTTTGCCCATAGCTTATTTGAAAAAGTAAAGGAAAATATAGCCTAGCAAAATTGTGAGAACGGATACTGATCATATTCTTCAGTCTACAAAGTCTACTTTGACTGATGAACAGTACTCCAGCCAGGGCAAAGTAAACTAAAATAGGCCAGAAATATCCCTTAGAATATCCGCAGTACACGGGTGAACGGTGCTTGTGAAGTGAACTGGGTGGCATTACCAGTATATGATCAAAGGGAGGAGAGACTGGGAAGAGGATCCTGTCTCACATGCAAAAGATTAGTCTTTTTCTTGGAAGACATGAAAAGCATTAAGAGCTGACTAACATTTTCCTAAGTATTTCAAGTCTAGAACATGTAATTTAATGCTCTGAATAATACTGGACAAAGACCACATTCTGATAATATCTTTATTCACAGAACTTCTTATTAAACTGATGCATATCTTGTAGCAAGATGTCCCTCCTTTAGTTAGGGGTTTCAAGTGATAAAAATGTGCTTTGTCTCTGGGTAAATTGCCTCCTTGTTAATTACAGGGTCTGTTGAAACTTTAAATTTTATTTCTAATCTCAACAGTTCTAGGTTTATCTTCCAGCCATGTAATTTTATTATACCATTTTCTGCTCTGTTGCAGAACTATGGTTGTGGTTTAACCCCAGCAAGCAACTCAGCCCCATGCAGCCACTCACTCACTCACTCTCTCAAGTGGCATGGAGGAGAGAATCAGAAAAGTAGAAAGCATGCATGATGTCATATGGTCTGGGATATCCCTTTAGTCAGTTGGGATCAACTGTCCTGGCTTTGTCACCTCCCAGCTTCTTTGAGCACCCCCAACCTCCCCCTGGTGGGGTGGTATGAGAAGAAGAAAAGGCCTTGACTTTGTGTGAGCACTGCTCAGGAGTAACTAAAACATCCATGGATTATCCTGCTGTTTTCAGCATAAATCCAAAACTCACTCACAGAGTAGCTACTAGAAAGAAAATAACTCTGCCCTGGCCAAAACCAGCACAACTATCTACTTGCAGATGCCTCTATGTCTTTTGAGTAAGTTGAACAGAGTGTGAGCTCATTAGGTCTTCCAGGAAGAGGTGCACTTTCTGAGCTTGGAACATGTTTGTAGCTTTCTTCTCAGCCCTGATCAGTTTTGAGGAGTCTTCTGTAAAGGTAATAACCATCTGTGTGCAGAAGCTTTTGCTGTTAGACTGTTTTCAGGACATTGCAGGGTATTCCCTTGTGTTCGCACCAAGAGGTGGTGCTTGCTCCCCTTGGCTTTTTCATGGGAGCTCAAGTTCAATATCTTCCCAGAGCTCCTGGCAGTTGCAGCAAAGGCTGAGCTGGTCTTGACCTGCAAGAGGGAGGGAGGTAGGGAACCAGAAAGGCACTACAGTAGTTGCAGAGCAGGCAGGAGCATGACCACATCTGTGTAGCATTTCGCCCGGCTCAATCACCTGGCTTGAGGTTTCCCTTTTGACTTTCTCTTGGGCTTTTCTTGTCTAAGCCACTGAACTATGTTGCCAAGGTTACCTGCATTTTGGGTGGCACTACACTGAGTGAAGTGGAAAGCAAGCAGGTGAGCTCTCAAATCATGTCCCATCAAAACCACTGTTATTTTATGTATTTGCATTGGATGCACTTGGATGCAAGGACTCTGTTGAAGAGTTAGGAGTACAGTAAGACTTGCAGTTCAGGGACTCAACACCAGACTGCTGCACTTCTCAAAGTGCTGATTACTCTTTACTAGCTGTGCTGATACACGTATTACAAAGCTGTCTTACTAATACATGCTTCAAATCTAAAATGAACGGCACCCAACATGGGTGTGCCATTCCTGAAGTGTCTGTGCTGAGGCCAGCAGAGCACCACACATGCTTTAATTACAACTCTGAGTGACACTACTGGCAGAGGTGTAAGACCACTGCATTTTGTGATTTGAGCTTCCAGGAAATTAAAACATTTGTGGGTCTTCCATGCAGTCTTTCTTCCCTGGGATGTTAAAGTTAGATGACTTTCAGCATGGTGATGCAGACTGTAAAGGTTCAGAGTATTACCTTGATTGTATGACAGCCTCTTCCATTTCAACTGCAATCCAAGGCTCATCTTTCCTCTGAGGCATTCATTGAAATTCTGCGCACGATATGTTCCTCTGGTTGTTTAACAATGTCTCTCATGTTTGCCCTGATTTAAAAAATCCTCCTTTGTAGCAGAGATAACATAGAGCAGGATGATATAATTGCAGTAAAGAGGCCCTGGAGCTTGCAGTAATAGGATGGTTCATCTGATGTGTACTGCCATTAGAAAATAACCCACGTATGTATGTTCTCGGGGGACAGTAAAGAGGCTTTTAAGGATTTCTCTGTATGTAGTATGAAAGCTAATGAGTAAAAGAGCAAGTGCAAAGAAAACTATTGCTGCATAAGCATGGTGCCACTTCCAGTTCTCAGTTATTTCCTTACACCTCTCTAGCTCCAAAACATCCATCTCTGCCCAGTAATGTGTGGGTTTTCATGCACTGCAGTTGGTTTGAGACTTTTGCAGACTTTTGAGAAAACTGAATTATTTTCATTTCACTGTAAAGTGAAAAGCATGGCAGAGCTAAGTTGAGGATTAAAACTGCTGTGTGTGTACAAAATAAGTAATTTTGGGGGAATAGCACTCTCTAATGGTCTGTGCCCCCTAAAAAACAAAAAAATAGATTTTGCTATAATAATAATACAGTTTTACAAGCATTGCTGAAAGGTTGATATTAGCCTCAATTCTCTGACCTTCATTCTTTTTCCTGGGCACTGTGCAGAAATATACGAAGACATAACACAATAAACAGTGAAGGACTTTTTCAAATGTTACATGTAGAATTTGGCCTGTGGTGGTAGGAGATCCAGAGTATCTGGTTTCTGATATTAACAACTTTTTGTCCAAATGGATTGGCATGTAGAATAACAATTCTTCCACTTGTATTTGTGCTGAAATAGAAGCCATTTAGCAAAACAGACGTTGGCTTCTTTGTTTTGTCACAGCATTTTTTCTCTTGCTTATAGAGCTTGTTATAGATAAAAAAATTAATTCACCTTTTAATACTCTGTACTCCCTCTGTACTGTTGGAATATATTTTTGTACCTTATCAGAGTTTTGTGTTCAATAGAATGGATGAACTTGGATTTTTCTTTATATATTTAACACAGTAAAGGATCAGGCTTTGCTATCAGGTAAAATGAAGCAGCCTTACCTAGGTTGTAGAACTTTGCAGAGGACATTGGATTTTGACTAAATGCTATACTGGGGTTCTGCAGCAAGGTCTGACATTAACTTCATTTCATTCCAAAGGGTACTGATCATAAAAAAGTCCATGAATATTAAATAAGGAAGAGGTGACAGCCAGCATTGTTGCAAGAATACACGCATGCCAATAACCTTATTAAACATCCCTTGTTTCTACGCACAAGTTAGGGGAATAAATAGTCAAGAGTACCTCCTTCTGGACCTAAAAAGTGACCTATTTTCCTGTGAATCTAGGAGGATTCAGGATACAACCTCTTTACTCCCATTGGATCAAATTGGAAGTATGTTAGAGTGCATGGGAGGTATTTTTCTCTTTGTATTGATGCTTTTCTGTGTGGTCAGAGGATTGCAAAGGGCTCACAGAGGGAGTAGGAAAAAGGTCTTAGTTTCAGGGTTGCAAGCAGTACTCTGTGTGTTGGGACAGGGGTAAAGAGTGCCCATGCCCTATGTGCAGGAGAAATTCCTGAAGTCCTTGAAGAGTAATAAGACTGTTAAATTAATAATTTGTAGCCTAGTAGACTTCAGCTTTTAAGCCCATCTCCTTTTCATATTCCTGTACCTAAAACATGGAGTGGTTATGTCATGTACTAAGCAGTGTTTGATAATACAGAGGAGATTTTCAGGGTGGAGAGTGTGTGTTCATGTATCATTGGAACTAGATGATCTTTAGGGTCCCTTCCAACCAAAGCCATTCTGTGTTTTTGTAATACCCCTATGAGATCATGCCTACATGTTTGTCATAAGTGTAGCTCCTTCAACATTTCCATAAGTTTTTGTTTCAGTCTGATACTCATGTCTGTATAGGGTAATACATTTGTCATATTTGGAAAATGTGAAACACGAAACTGAGGGGGAGAGAGCGCTGCGTATTCAAACATACAGCAGGGCATTAGCACTAGTCTGACTAATGGTAATGCAATCATATTTACTAGACATAATGGAAGGGTTTTCTAGTTGACCCAAGTGGTGTCTGTCTGTCTCTGCAGAACTCCAATCCACCACCTTGTGCCAGTGCATCACGATCCAATTCTGTGAGCCCAAATCCAATGTTCAGTTAGAGTCTCCAAATGTGTCACTTGATCCGCGATCCACCATCCATCTATCGCTCTTTACACATCTGGGACTTATTTTAACAACCACAAGTGGCATGAGATGAATTATCTGTTGCTGCTTCTGCTGTCAGTTGACACCTCTCTATTAAACTTCCAGTCTTGCAAATACCAGAATAGTAGTGCTAAATTTTTTATTTCTGTCCTGTATCCCTCCCCCCTATAATTGGTATACTGGAGCAGAAAAGGACTTGCAATTTTGTTATTGCTGTATAAGCCTTCTGTAAACTCAGTTACAGCACTTCTGATGTTGGTAATTTTTACAACTAAAAAATATGCTGACACTGTGTTTGGGCATAGGAAAAGAGCAAATTTGAATGTATAATAATCTAGTGATTTTGGGAGATGTTTGATGCTATATCCCATCCAACTTAATCACTCATGGAATTTTTTTTTATATTATTTGCTCAATTGACTGGAGGCATTAATCTCATATCTGTGTAAAGGCATCTTTAATGCCAAAAACTTGATCAGAAATACCCAACATTTCTCTGACATAGAACAGATTTTGAAGGAAAGCTATCAGTTGAAAATAGAGCAGCAGAAACAGAGACATTGTTGCTTTATTTTTCTTACATAATGAAGAAATACCCAGATGATGATTTTCAATTCGTGAGGTATATTGAACCATGTATCGTATTCATGAATATAAATTGAGCAGACGTGACACATTTTTCATATAAAGATGACACAGAGTTGCTCCTTCTGGTAGTTCTTTGTCTGAAATATGCTTATTCTAAGAACATCACTACAGAGTTAATAGTGCACTGCATAACTGCATGTTAAAAAGGGAGTGTTAAAGAAACATCTTAAAGAGAAATTATTCATAGATTTATAATACTTATGGCTTGCCACATTTTTCAAGGACAGGATCTTTCTGCATCTTCCTTTTCTTTCCTACTTTTTCTGCAAAATTCTTCATCTCTAAATATTAGCATCACCCAGCCAGCCCACTTCCATCTGCCTATGCTCATTCTCAGGCTAGATCATGTTGCTGCTGAGCGGCGCACCATTTGTGCTTTACTTCCCATCCACGCTTCTACCTCATTAGCAGCTTGGCTCTCCAGATCATCCAGTCTCTGCCCGTTTCTCAGTTAGTCCTAGAAGGGTTGTCCCAGGAGAAAACCTGCAATCCTGTGGTGACTTTGAACACAGAGTTAGTAATAGGTTAAAACGGAAGCATCAGCTTCTCATACTTGTGCAGGCACTTGTGTGTCAGCAGTGTTCCTACTGAAAAATGGTGAGAACACTCTCTAATTTATGATTTTCCTCCTTTGACAAATATGAAACTAGTAGGATGGAATATGACCCTTAATATACTCTAATTACATAAAAAACCCCTTGCAAATAGGAGCCAGTGTGCATACAGATGTTCTTCTTGATTAAAATAAAGCCTTCTCTGTTTACATCATGCTAGGAAGTAGCATTACAAGAAAGATATGAGGGTAAGATAAGAAATGTGACCTGAAAGAAACTGTCAGATTAGACTAAGAAGGCCAAGTACTGGTGTCTTTGAAGTTGATGGGAGTTTTGCCACTGAGAAAGTAGCCAAAAGACAGTAGCATCCTGTGTCTCTTTAAGGATTTACAGTCCTGCACTGCAGTCAGACATCCCTCAAGGAGGTCTCTGCCACAGGGTAAAAGAGCATAACAAAGGTGTGCTGCCTGTTCAGCCTGCCTGAGCTGTCAGCTCACAGAATTTGTTTATTGCACTTCAATTTTCCTTTCCACTAACGCTTCTCTAGAAATGAGCTTTGACTAATTTTTGACTAATGCAAGGAGAAATTATGAGATCATTTGCTGTCATTAGAACAGTTGTAATTTTGCCCTTGCAAGCAACAGGGTATTTGAAGACATCTTTCTTGTTCCAGGTTACCAGTCTGTCCTGCCAAACCAGCAGCAGGGGTTCCAGGGTCTCATGGGAATGCAGCAGCCGCCCCAAAGCCAGAACCTGATGAATAATCAACAGGGAAATCAGGTGCAAGGCATGATGGTGCAGTATCCAGCCATGTCGTCTTATCAGGTACTTAGGAACCCTAAGGAAAGACTGCTTTTCTTGGAGAGTGCTTAACTGAATTAAGTTTTTGTGTCACTCAACGCTTCATTTGGACAGTGTGTGGCAGGAGGCCTCCTGATAAACATGTCCGAAGTCAAATCGGTTTCTTTGCTTCCTGTTAACATAGTATTCCTGACTTTAATTCTGAATTGGGAATACTTCAAATGAACTATTTATTACAGCCTGCAGTGAGCGTAAAATGTCACAAAGAATGAAGGAATTAGACTTCTTCCTGTGAAGAAAATTAATTAAAAAAAAAAATAAGAACATTGTTTATTTCTTCTTTTTTTTTTTTTGCCAGTGCAGTACTGTTTCCTGTAATGAAGTTGAGGGCTTTGCCTGATCGAGTTAAAAATTACTCATCTGTGGAGACTCCTGCCAAGGATCTCACCATGTCTTCTATAACAAGCTGTAGCCAGATGGATTATTGTTTATTGGGTTCTGGGGAGAGGGAAGGCAGTGTCTTGATTTTGACCAGGTCTGTAAGTTCCCAGACTTATTTCCCCACCCCTTATACCTAGTTTCTTTGAGGTATGCCAAGAGCATGTGAAAGGTGTCCCGTGCTTACATTTCCTCCTGGTCCCTCTGGAAAGTTTAGAAACTAAATGACATCTAACTCATTTTAATAGATTGAAATGATTGAGCAGCCATTCAGCTTTTCCCTTGGCTTCTCTGAAAACACTACAGCAACCCAGATGGAAATGGGGGAATTGCTTGTGGGTAAAATATTCCCCTTACTTCTTCAGAATGACTGTATTGAAAATGCGTCTTAAAGGTTAATGATCAAGTTAGAGGTTTAGACCTTTTAGATGGCCTAGATATAGCAGAGTCAAGTCTTTCATTTGCATTGATCCCAGAAATTCATAGTCCACTAGGTCATAACAGAGACACGTCCTTGACCTAGGAGGAGAGGGAATTCTCTTTAACCCTTCTCTAACAAAAAAATCTTCAAGATGAGAACAGTTCTGAGCAGCACAAAATTACAAATTTTGGCGGAACATGTAGTATACTCAAATTCAGCTAGAAGGAACATAGGGATACTGGGAACCTACTTTAATTTGCTTAGTAATTGCTACCTTCTTTTTTTCCTGCATCTTTCTGTATTCCTACCTAGGTGCCAATGACCCAGGGTTCTCAAGGATTGCCACAACAATCATATCAACAACCAATCATGCTACCTAATCAATCAGGTCAAGGAACACTTACAGCCACTGGGATGCCTGTCTACTGTAATGTCATACCTCCTGCCCCACAGAACAACCTACGGTTGATTGCCCCACACTGCCCCTCCAATAATGTTCCAGTTATTTCTGCCAGCTGCAGGACAAACTGTGCAAGCATCAACAATGCAGGGTGGCAGGTCAAGTACTGACACTGTGGCTTAAAGTGGATATATGAGGATAGCGGTGCATTATTTGACAAATAAATCATGGCCTTCAAATGAAGAGGAACACAACAGGATAAACAGTTTGAGGGCATAAGTACTGACTATGCTCAAGTGATTTGCTGCTGGAAAAATCTGTAAAAAAAAATAAAAGTAAAATAAATTTTGAAAAAAAAATGTTTGCTGGTTAATGGTGCATATTTTTGTCATGTCTGCTAGGTATGCCTTTATAGCTTAGCTAGTGACATGAATTCATTGAGGTAAGATTTTTTCCTACCACTGAACACCACTGTGTAGATTGTAATATCCCCGATTCGGATTAGTTTTGTACTTTGTGTTGAGTTTGTGAAGCTAAAAGTATTTAAAAATATAATAAAAATCACATTGTACCAAAGCTGTAATGGAAATAAAAAAAAAAAAAAAAAAGAGAAAACAAAAAGAGAATTACTGAATGGAAATAAGGAATAATTTATATACACTATAGAGTTTTTTATGGATATATACTGTATTGTAGTGCTTAATCACAATAAAGCTATTTGACCTCATGGAGGAAGGTCATGTTTCTACCACCTGCTTGGTCTCGTCTGTTTCTGAGTGAACTTCCATTTGGTTCTGCATTGTCTTGTTTCAGGTGACGCTAATGGGGGAATGGTTCTTAACGGGCTTACAGGAGTTTGGTAAGAAAACAACATACCTGTATGTATCTCAGCATGTATACCATAACAGTTAAGGCCACTGAGAAACTGTAGTGCAGCCACACGGGAAGTAGTCAGTGAACAATGTACCAGTTCATCTTAAACTAAGTTTGCACTTTACCAATCCCTAGGAGGACCAGTAAGGTCACAAACACAATTTGCCACTGTTACAAGCCTCTACTAAGCCATACCTCTCCAAGAGGCCATACAACAGTTGTATATTAGAAGACATAGTTGTCCCAAGATATCCCATCCACTGAATAGAAGATCAGTTGCTACTGATGTAGCAACCACAGTACCCAGCAATTCTGCTACATAGATACTCTGCCCAGTCATCGGTACTCCAGGTGTAAACCATTCTGACACAAGAAAATGGCCCAAGAATCTGGTCCACTGTGTTCAACTAAACCCTAAGGGGACTAACAATATATTTGGGTGTTTGGCTTTTAAAACACAGTGGTTTGCCAGAAATTTTTAGACCTTTTTTTCAATTCCAGTGGTGTTTCTCATTATTGTGTCCATCCTCGCTCAAATTCTCTGCTTGTTCTGATTAATTGGTTTTGATTCATAAATGCTGCATTGAGTTCTTCATTTTGATTCAGTGATGACAACATCTGAGACACAAATGTGTTTATCAGACAAAAGCCGGTGTTGTTGTTTACTTAAACTGCATTTTTGATAAATTTTGAACACTTTTACAATAGGTAGTAGTTGAGCACTCCAGAATAAGCCATACGCATTATGAAAAAAACTGAGATCCTTTTGTGTATAAAATCTGTATGTGTCATAATACAATTTTAGGTCCACCCAAGATTACAGCAGACTACAAGGCCCTGGGCCATTGTTAATGTGAATGTGAAAGAGCTTTTATTTTACACTTAAGATAGCTGACCTTTACTTTCTACTTCAGCTGTGGAAATGAGAACTGGAGGGGCTACTTCCCATATTTAAAACAAACATTTTTCTTTTCTGTACAATGAACAGATATCTTTCAGACTTCAGTCTTTTTGTACGTGTGTGTCTTAAAAGTGTGGAATCCAGTCCTGTGGGATCATAAGAAAGCCAAACACTGAATTTTATGTAGTGTAATCATGATTCATTTGCTGAGAGACAGTCAAGAGCATGAGCAGTTAAGTAAACACAATTCACTCTTCAATTAGAGGTGAAATGCCTTGGGAAAGCCTGCTGATTGATTTTTTTTTTCTTTTCCTTTTTTTAAATCAAGATACTGCATTTGAATTTTGTCTGTGACCCTGAGCTCTCATTTCAGATGCCCTGCATTGTATAGCTTATTTCCTTTTAGTGTTTTATATACTACAGAGGTTTCTCTCCTAGCATTACTATAGTTACACGTAATTGGATTTGCTGCTACAGAATGACTGACAGTGGAATGAATGGGTGTCCTTCTCTGTCAAGACTCCACAGTCCAGCAGAAAGGACCTACCTGCAGGTGACCTTGTGCAGGACAGATCTGTGTGTGCCCAGGCTGAACGAGAGGGGAGGGAGGAGGAATCTCTGTGCACCCAGTGTCTGGAGTGAAGAGATGCTTTGGTTGTCACTATATTTAAGTCCTATTTCTTCTCTTCTCTGAAGCACTACTGTTACCTTATTAATCTTTCTACTTGTCAGGGAAAAATGAATGAATTGACTGCTAAAAAAAATCCGCCCTCAGCATCATAGATCGATGGCAAGCTGAGCTGTAGATGCTTTCAGTAGAGATGGGGAAGAGAGTCAAAAAGGAAAGCCTAGGAGTCCTGCTTCTGTAAAGACAGACTTTCCTCATGTCTTTATTCCACTTTTGGTCACGTGCCCTTAGCAAACAGCATATCCTATGCCTGACCATAGCCATGCTTTCCCACAGTTTACCTGTCTCTGCTGCTACAATGACCAGCTGGTATAAAACATGTACTTAGCTGTGGGAGCAGAGATCCTGCTGGCTGATTTCTCACAGCCTTGTGACAGCAGCACCTACCTGAACAATAATGTACATTCCTGCTAAAATGAGACTTTAGCTTTTTATGTAAAATTGAGCAGTTGCGGGAGGAGGTCACAGCCACCCACCAATGGCTTATGTCCTCTGATTGTCTCACTCTCCAAAGAGTTTGAATCTCCTTAGGCATATGAGGAAACTGAATCTGTTCTCCCTCAGCTATGGAGAATGCCCTAATTATTAAAGTATCATATACATGGGGGGAGACATCGCACGTGGTGATATATTTGTTTTCTGCTGGAAGCATTTGCATTTGAAGACAAGTAATTTTTTTTCTATATCAAGTGAAGCACAAAAATTATCCTCTAATTTTATGTTTAAGTCATAAGATATTTTTAAGTCTTTCTCCAAAACCTTTCTTTCATTAATAAAATTATTTTTAGCTGGATTGCTTAGCACCCTTCTGCTATTAAATCAGAGATGTTTCAGCATTGTCAGAAGGGGAAGAAGAGGTAAAAAGAAGTGACCTGCAAATACATGCAACAAAAATGGGTAGGTGAAGCTCAATGTTTTTTTCGTAGTCTTTTGAAATATTTAGGGGTAATCTCCATAAGAGGGGTGCTGTTAGATTCATCTGGCCAAATGTAGTTCAAGCAACTTATCAGCTGGTCACCATGAGCTCA